AGAATATGAAAACATTTTAAATGTTTCTACATCCAAAGACATGAAATTATTATATATGGTGTTCAAAATAAGATATAGGAAAAGAGCCACCAGAAAAAGTATTTCTTCCTAGTTAACTCTCTGTAATAATATCACAGCTTGGTTATGAACTGATATAATTTTTGTACAGATTTCAATCTCAATTTCAGTTAAAGTTGTTATACATATATTAGGGTCTGCCACAGTGTCCATTTGAATCCAGTCAAAGGCAGTGATGACCAAGAAAAGCCAGTAGGAGTGACATAAGCCCAAGCCTCAAAATACATATGCAATTTACATACATTCATAGTCTTGATGCAGGGCAGGTGGGAACCAGAGTCGAGCTTAGCCTGCGAGGGTTCTTGGCTTTGCTCAGGAAAGAAGTCAAGGGCAAGCCAGAGGTAGAAGTAAACAGCTTAATTGAAGAGTCAGTGTTACATCTCCAGCAGTATTAAGCTCCATGACTGCCCCTGAAGAGCAGGGCTACCCCTAGGCAAAGGGTAGCAGCTCAAGGCAGTTTTGCAGTCATATTTATTCCCATTTTTAATGGCCTACAGATTAAGGGGTGGTTTATGCAAAAATTTCTAGGGAAAGTGTAGTAATCCTTGGGTCACTGCCATGTAAAGGGGCAGTAACTCCCAAATGTTGACATGGCAATGGTAAATTGACATGGCACACTGGTAGGCATGTCTGATTGAAAGCTGATTTTGCAGACAGGCAAGATGGCTCATGCCTATAAACCCAGCACTTTGGCAGGCTAAGGCAGGAGGATCACCTGAGGCCAGAAGTTCAAGACCAGCCTGCCCAACCCCAACTCTACAAAAACACAAAATTTAGCTGGGTGTGGTGGTACACGCCTGTAGCCCCAGCTACTTGGGAGACTGAGGCATGAGAATTGCTTGAACCCAGGAGGCAGAGGCTGCAGTGAGCCGAGATTGTGCCACTGCATTCCAACCTGGGAGACACAGGGACACCCTGTCTCAGCAATAAAAAAAGAAAAGAAAGAAAGCAAGCTGATTTTGCCCTGACTCTCTTTTAGCTAGTCCTCCATATGATCCAGTGTCCAATCCCTGCCCTGGGGTCAAGTCCCAGCTCCTAACTCAGTCTGATTCTGTCAAAAATGCATAGACTCTGCAGTTAGAAAAATCTGATTTGAAAACTTGGCACCTCTACTCCTGACAAGTTAAACTGTGAGTATGTTATATGAATTATTTAAAACGTGTATTTATCCATAAAATGAGACCAAAGTTTCTGAGCTCATGAGTTTGTTGTGAAGATTATTTGAAAGGTAACACCAAATATAAATGAGCTATTATATGCTAAGTTTCTTTCACTCTTTCACAACAGAGTAGTTCAGAATTTGCCAGAGACTCTGTAGTCAATAGGTGTGCAATATTTCCAGAATGCTACACCATTATAGACTTCATAGAAGTGAGCCTTAGAGAACTTGATGATAGAATTATTTGTGGTAGATGCATTAGGTTAAATGTTTTTAACTTGCCATTAAATGATAAAAAAAGTTCCTAGTGGAATGCAAAACCAAATCTCTACCCTTTCAACTAAACTCAATAACTTACTTTTTGAAAGAATTTTGCAGATGAGCAATTCTAAAATAATCATGCTGCTTTACTTTTGACTTGATATATTTTAATATTTTACCTTCATTGATCCCATCATATCCTAGCACATAGTACCAAAGGGTGTGGGTTCTGAGGCCTCAAATTTCATTAGAATTCTCTGGGACAGCCTGCTCACCCTCTCTACATATTCAGATTTTTAATTTGTAAAGCGAGATGTGTAAGAGCATCTAACTCAGAACTTCTGGGAGGACTAATTTAAAGGATAAATATAAGGTACTTAGCAGAGTACCATATACTTGGGAAGCATTAAATATACATTAGAAATTATTACTATACATATTTCTAAAGATATTCTAGAATATTTAAGAATTATAATTTATTTCTTTTGAAATATTTCCCCAAATGGATGCATTATTGTAATACATAGACTTTATGCTTAATAATCTATCATACAGGTTTTATTTATTTCTTTTACAGAGATAACAATATTATTTATTGGCCAGTAATTAATCATTATTTTCTGGAAGTAAATTATAAGGCATATAAAAATGATAAAGCAATCACAACCACAGTGATAATAGCAACAATATTGAAATAATATTAATAACAATAATTTCCATGTATTTGCAGTCTATGGGTCCTCACAAAAGCCCTTTTAAATAGGTAAAAGAGATATCAGTGTTCTGTTACTGTTCTGTCATGCATGTTTTGCTTAATAGAAGATGGTAAATTTGAAGATTTGAGAATAAAAATAAAATCATATGGCATAATAGTGTGGTTAGAACACAAATGAGAATTGCGATCCAGTTTGTGTGACTCTTCATAACTATTACGTTGTCTTATTCTGAAATACTCCTCCTTGCAGTATAGAATATAAAAACACTGTATCAATATTAGTCAGAAAAGAGCTTTAAATTTTGACAATGTGTGATAAAATTTTGAGATATCTATCTCTCCCTGTATATCTCCATCCTGCCAACTGCATTATTCCATAAATTTCTTTAAAATAATTTTTCAGTGTTCATAATATGCTATTCCACATATAACTCATTATTTTATGAAAATATATAGCTAAAAGATACCTTCCTGATGGTTTAAAATTCAAATAATTGATTTCACAATACTGAACAAAGACCTTTTATCTGCTAGACATTGTGTGAGGCACTATGGAGACACGAGTAAAAAAGAGAGAGGTGATTCCTACTCTCACAGACTTTATAGATAGCAGCATTTGGAAAAAGACATTGATAATAGGAAGGTTAAGTCAAAATGTAGTAATGTCTGTGACAGAAGAATTGCACAGAACTATGAGGATACACCAGAGAAACACATACTTTTTGCATGCACAGGCAGGGATCTTCTATAACTGTGTATGCTATCATGGATAAAATGCTCCAGTCACAAGAAAAAATATCGGTAAAGGTCAACATGCTCAAAGAACTTGCAGAAGATTAATGTGGCTTGAGCATAGAGCAAAAAATGTCCAGAAATGAGAACTAAGCCACTTGCTCACATGTGTGGTCTTGCAGGCTTCATCTACCTAGCAATGATATTCTTTGGAAAGATTTTATACCTGGGAATTAAAGAATGAATTTTCAGTTTGTAAATATCACTGTGGCCATGGCATGAGGGTAGGTTTGTGAAGGGGGAGACCATTGTAGGAGGAAGGAGAAGAGTTTAGAAACCCTTACAACAATCCTGGAAATATATGATGGCAGCTTGAATGTTTGTAGTGGCAGTGGAAAGGGAGAAAAGTGAATGGATTTGATAAATATTTAGGCAGCAAAAGGGACAGGAATCAGTGGACTGGAAGTGGAGTGTGAGAGAAAACACATAGCCAATGATGGCACTCAGGTTTCCAGATTTGGCACCTGGATGGACCATAGGTACAAACAGAGATGGCGTATATAGAGAAAAAAAAATTCAGAGAGAGGACTTCAGTTTGGAATATGTGGTTTTGGGGGTGCCTATGGGAATACAATGAATGGTATCCAGAAGGCAGTTGAATTCTGGATTGCTGAATCTCTGAGAGGAAACTAGGCTAGAGATATAGCCCATGGATTATAGCTGAAGTCATGGAAGGAAGAAGAGGAGAGGGGTCAGAATTCGTATTGACACAAATAATTTAAAAGTACAGATAGACGAAGAGGAATCTATGAAAGATGTTCAGATGGAATAGTCAGAGAGGTTAAAGGAGACCAAAGAAGTATGGTATGTGGAAACCCAGAGAAAGTTTGAAGATGGAGGAAGAATAGTCAATAGTCTTAGCTGCACTCAGTAGTTTAGTAATGGCAGCATAATGGATAAATTCTTCTTCCTCATCCCTGAAATTTTTCCTGTTAAAGCCAGCTGAAGTATTTTAATTGCATAATTTCCTCTGCTACTTTTCTCCCTCTCCTTGGGAAGTTGAGTGATTTATCTTACAGTTAGATTTGGAAAGAATTAATAAGGGATGCATGGCCTGAAGCTACCATTTTTGCTCTTTGGGAATGAGCCTGCTGGGCACTGAGAAGATATAGTCTCCTTTCTCCTCTCTGCTGTCTTCCTGGATGCTTACTCAAAGCAGCCAAGAGGGAGACAGAAATGAATATAAGCAAGGTTACTTGATTCAGAAAGGTACTTGGGTAAAGGGATTCAGATAAAGGAATGGCTTAAGGCAAGAGACAGTACTGGCCCCCAGCTTTGTGACCAGTAAAATGAGTCACAATACATGCTTGTGACTTGCTTGTCACAATCCAGTTCCAACCCATAAGGGTATTTGGAAGTTCAGAGTGGTACGCTTAATGGCCTCTATTTCTTCTGAATAGTATGAAAAAAGAATCATCTCCTGAGATTGAGGTAGAATAAAACTAAACATGTTTTATGAGAGTTGTAAATATTTGAAGAAACAAGTGAAGAATATGAGAAAACTGGTTAAAACCAAACAAAAAAGACCTCTAATTCAGCACTGAAAATTAAGACCTTGACAATCTACACAGATGGGATTTGTTGTTGTTACCCGCTCTCCCTCCTTTCTCTAATGTACTTCCCTGTATCTTGCCTTTCCTATTTCTCCCTGCTCACTAGCTTGTTTAGTATTCTTAGCTTCTCTCACAATTTCCCCTGCAGCAATTCCAGGCTTGTCTACTGACCATATTCTGTCCCACTTTAATTCATCATACATCCTAAGAATTGTTTTCTTTCTAATCACTGATACTCAAAAAATGACAGATGGTTCCCGCTACTATAGAATAAAGGGCTTAGCATTATGGCCCTGTACCTACATTTCCTGCCTTATATCTCCTGTCACACCCACATGCTTTTGTTATATTGTCTTCTGTCCACATCATTGTGTTCAAACTAGATTGTCAATTTTTGGATTTAAGAGACATATATATTCTACTTTCAATGACAAGCACAGCTCCTACCAATGGCAGCTGTTTAATAAACAACTGATAATTGTAAATTCACTTTATTTCTAGATGTTGTCCAATAATCTATACAGTGAGAGTTAGAGTTAAATAAGTCATACTTAGCTTACCATTCTTTAAAATAATCTTTTGCTTATCCAGATGAATTGCCATATATGGGTAAGTAGTAAGAATGCAGTTTTCTGCGGTTGCAGCTACTGGGAGCGAAAACCTGAAAGTGAAAACATTGCATTTCAATACAATAAAAATTTCAGATGCAGTAAATGAAATGAGTTTAAGTATCCCAGATGCCTTTAATGATGAAGACATGATTTATTCACTTTTTCTTTCTACTTACTTTCTTTTTGTTAACCAGCTATTCAATATTAATGATTTTTAAAATTTTTACTTTTAAAGATTCTAACATATATAAATTTTACTGTCAAGTGTGCTATAGAACACAGCTAGTAACTGTGCAGGTACAAATACACAGATTTGGGAAAGATTAGAGTTGAAGGTGTCTCAGAGTTAATTTACTCATGTTTTTCTATGGAGTCCCTGACAAATGGCATGTAGCCTTGGATGACACTATTAGGGAGATGCTACCAGATGACACTTGCAACACAGAAACAGCCCATTTTCTATCTGGAGAGCTGTAACTTCAGAAGTTCTGTTCCAGTGCAACGCAGAACAAAACCTACAATCTGAACCCCATTGCAGTTCTTCAAATATTCAAATACAGTCATTAATTTTTCTGTAAGGTTTCTCTTCAGATTTCAGAAATTTAGAACATTCAAAGATTCTTTCTACCGCAAGGTCTCCACATCTCTTACGTATCAATCTCATTTATTTAGACGATCTTTTGTTTTGTGTTTATCCTTCTTTAAATGTGTCTGAGGACTGAAAGCAATACTGCAAAAGTTATTCAATGAGTACAGAGTACTATTACCTTCTATAACCTGCATACTCTATTTTACGAAAGTATTGTGAAATTGTCTTATTATGTTTATCAGTCACAAAACACTCTTAAACTATATTGGGGCTGTCTATCTTATATGACAATTCTATTCTTGTGGAACTGATTTTTTAAATAAAAGGGCTATATTTTATATCTATATCACTGTAATACTGCCTTATTAATTTCAGATTTGCATTATAGTATACCAAGAAAATATCACTATTGAATCAGCCATCTGTCATCTACTACTACTTTATGGTCACTAGCTGAGGTAAAATGCCAAAATCCCATGTTTTAATGCAAGTAACTGTAAGTAAATAAAGAATAGGATGAAACTAAAAAAATGTTCATAGCTGAAAATAACGAGTTATCAAGTACATTAATGGTAAACATATGTTACATGCAATTGAATGATTTCTACCACAGTTCTGCATAAAATATTTTTCAGTAAGAAACGCATTACCTTTTTCTCTTTATAAATTGATATGTATTAAAATTATATGTAAAATACACACTCAACATCATCTTGGTTAACAAACACTAATCTTATCTTTCTGCTCTATAGATCCTCAGTACATGTATCAGATGGTCTTATTCAGGACTACATTTCATATCTATATGTAATTTTTACCATATGATATCATTCTTAAATTTAAATTTCCTTAATAGCATAAATCAGTACTTCTACAAATTGTACACTTGTTCTAAACATAGTGATCAATCAAAATTTCATTAGCTGATCAACTATATTTAATCAACAAATTTTAGATTAAATGACATAGTTTACACAGAGGCACCATCATCGCTACCATCATAGAATAAGAAATATTATTTTTTGTTTTAACTAGGACTATAGAAGGAAAAAAAGACTGCTGTAGTAAATTCTATGGATGCTCTGCTTTTATACCCGTATCGCCTGGGTGCACCCTGGGGCAAGCCCATAGCCAACATCTGTGGTTGTGGAAGTTTCAAATCTCAGCTCTATCAACCCAATCCCAACAAAAATTGGGATGTCACTTCAGTTCTGGAGAAACCTAAGGGATTGGGTTGCTTTTGAAATTTTGATTTAAATTTAAGTGTCACATTTATTTGGAGTGATCAATTCCCTGTTCTACTTCTCTTATCCCCTTAATTGTTTTTTGGAGGAGAACATTTCCTTAATAATGCACAGACCCATGAGTCTTCATCTAAAAGTGAGCTTCCAGACAAAGTTACCAAAGACAACTACCAAATGAACAAACAAAAGAAACACTAGCACTCGAAATATTTCTACAATGGTGAAGAATGAAGGAAAATAATATTGAAAATAAATTTTATTTCAAGAATTAAGTGGAAATAAATACAATAATGTTTGTTTGTTTCTCTTACAAATCTAGTTTGCTGAAGATAACATTTTATCTCAGATGTTCCTTATGGTAAAAAATAGTCAATATATACAAAATTGACTTGACCACATTCTTTTCATAGAGGATATAATACAGAAATTATACAAGTAATATGGCATGGGAATAGGGATACTTCACTCTTTGACATTAGTATTAAAATATATTAAAACAGAAAAAGCGACATACAGTTGGTAGTACCAATACTCTACATTTTAATAAAATATTTCTGGGGAAATAGAGCAATTTGTGTTACTTAATCAGGGAACAATGGTAATATTTATGAATTCTCTATGCCAATGCATACAGACAGAAATGGTTACTGACAGAGGAATTATTCTAAAAAAGACTGAGTATTACAGTAACAGTGAGATGAAAAGCCCCTTCGATATTATGAGTTTCAATTCCATGGTAAGATTTAAATAACTATCTTCAGGCATGTGTGATTTAGAATAGTTCTACTAGGTAAAAAACAGAATGAATATTCCTGGTAATAAGAGGGTTGAAGATATGATGTGAATATTAATGAAAGTGATGTCAATGGGCTTGCACTATTTGTGGCCGTGTTTCTCATTATTAGTGATACTGTGTTTGGTCATTTGGTTACGGTTGCATCCATTAGATGTCTTCATTTCTTTTTATGACAGCATTAGAAATGTTATTTACATACCATAAAATTCATCTTTTAAAGATGTACAATTCAGTATTTTTTAGAAACATAATCAGAGAGTTGTGAAACCATCACCACTATCTAGAAAATTTAGAAAATTTTCATCGTCCTTAAATGAAACTGTTGGAAACAGATGCTCAGTGCCGCAAAGAAAAATCAGCATTGAGACAAAGGACTTTTCAACAACGCAATTTTACTTCCTGGACTGCAGGAAGGGTACTCTCACTAGCCAAACTGTCATGACAGCACAACAAACAAAGGAAAGCAGAAACATTTATTCCTTACACATTTGGGGTCATCCTTACTACTGTGTCTCTTCTCCATTGACTGGAGTCAGATCTCACAGTCTAAACTAAAACCCTATTGGCCAACAACTTAAAACTTTTCTAAACAGGTAAAAGCAATGGAGAGCTGGGACATGCTTATGAGCATGCCCAGCACAGATATCTTGGTTAAAGTACAAGGACATAGAATGTACCACTTACTTGTAAGCATGGCATGTCTAACAGCTACATAGGATAGGGCTTAACAGCTATTAGCACACTTATGATTTATTCTTTAACAAGAAAGGAAACTTTAAAGAGGAACTTTTCCACTTCTCACAAACTCTCTACCCCTTAACAGTCACTCTCTATTTGCAACTCCACCCCACTGCCAGCCTCTGAAGGCATCTAATCCTACCGATTTTCTGATGCTGGAAATTTCTCTTTTGGAAATTAATAAGTACTCTGCAGATGAAATGTGGAGACCATGTGTATATCACTTTCCTCACAAATCTTTCATATTTTAATATTGAATGGTATGATGTCCACATATAATTCATTATTTAAAAGTCTCACAATTCATCTCTCTGGCCATTAGCTGGTGAATAATTAATACTCTAATCACACATCACTAATTCTTTCCACATCATTAGTGAGGCTGAGAGATTTTATGCTTGTCTGACCAATTTTTAGGAATAAAACTTTGAAGCTTCATGTTAAATTTTTGTGATAACTAGCCTTGTATTTATAATATTTTAGTGCTTTCCACTAGCACACAAAATACTGTGATGGCATGTCAAACATATTTCAACATCAGGAAAAATATTATGATTCTATATTTATCATCTTTACTAAAGTTCTGCTCTCATCTGTACTATTTCAAGGCAAATCTCACATTCCAAAAGCAATCTTATTGAGCATGATTTTAATTCACAGAGAAATGGGCAGAGAAAGGAAGCCTCCAGGTTTATAGAAACATGCCTCTCTAGGCTTACTATGGTTATCTAACTAAACTTTTTTCTACAATGCAGCTAGAAAAAAAATTATATGTTGATAACACTGGCAGTGGCTATGAAGGGTTAAAAGAAGAGGTTAATGCTAACGTTGCTTTTGATTAATGAACCATATTTCTGTATATAGGTTTGAATAAAGTGAGAAACAGGTGAAGGAGAGGAAAAGATGCTGGGTTGGTGTTTTTAACATGCTTTTCGTTGTGAAACCAACAACCAACCCATCACCATAAAAAATAGGTGCTTACAGAATTCATATAGCATTTAGGTAAACACTTAAAATCAATGGAATATATTCAGATGACTATATTTCTGTCAGGGAAATTTATTACACAAAACAAACTTCCTTGAGCAACCATTCTGATGTGGTTTATTTACACCTACTCACAATTTTTCTCAATGTCAATACCTGTTAGCAAAATATTTCATATGTAACTTTACTCGTATGCACGAAAACTAATTGATATGTGTCTTAAATATCTAACGATTGCTATAGCTATTACTTTATGTCAGATAAGTCAATTGATGGGACAAAGGAATTTTAATTCTGGTACTCTTATGTATATTTATAATACACATAGAACTCATTAAGTATGAGTAGAGTTCATTCATTATGTTGCCAGACACAAGAATCTCTTGATCACAAGTGAGGAGAACATATGCCATGTTAATCAGTAATAGAGTTACAAAGTATATTAGCTCATTCTCGTATTGCTATAAAGAACTACCTGAGGCTGGGTAATTTA